ATCCTCCCAACAATCATCTTCTGGAAGGGGAATCGCTGTTTGAAACTGAGAGATTTTCTTTCCTTTCATGACTGCGCGTTGACGTCTTTTCCACGCAGATCCTTTTTTTCTTTTTGATGTTGATTTCTGAGGTTGCTGTTGTTCATCTTCCCAAAGTTCATTTTCTGAAGAGGGAATCTCTGCTTGAGGTTGAAGTATATCCTTTTCTTTTGGGATTGCTACTGGTGCTGTACGTTGACATCTTTTTCCCGTCGTTTCATTTCCATCTCCTTTTGATGCTGATTCCTGGGGTTGTTGCTGTTCGTCCTCATAACTACCAGATTCCAATGGGAGAATTACTGCGTAAAGTTGAGAGATTTCCTTTTCTTTTAAGGCTGCTGCTAGTGCGACTCGTAAACAACTTTTCTGAGTCGTTCCGATTCCGTCTTCTTTTAATGCTGATTCCTGAGTTGGTTGTTGTTGATTTTTGACCATAGGTCTTGTAAACTGAGGAGTGGTCGGAGGTTCTAACTTTAAATCTTTTCCTTTGCTTGTTTTTGTTAAATGACTCTGTTCAGTTTGTTTTTCCCAAACTTTTGTCGTCTTCATCGGTCGGGAGATGTTGGTGAGATTTACAAATATTATCCACAATTTTGGGACTGCGGATAGAAAGGTATACCATCCTAGAAGTAGTATCGCCCATTCTAGGTATTTCGTGTTCAACCGTCTTGGTTGAAAATTGCTAATATCATTATACCAATAAGTTTCGTTTGGAATAATGCCAGAAAATACGTTGTCGTTGTTAAGCGATAAGAAAATTTTGCTCATGATGGATGGATAAGAGTTTTGATGGATGTTGTTGAAATTTCAATCTCAATTTTCAGTCATCTTATATTAAATTATTTAGCCAATCATGATAAGCGAATTTTTTTTTTTATTTTCGAATCCCGCTGCTAGCCTTCGTTTATTCATTAAAGATTAATATTAAATTAACTGAATTATGAGTTTTTATTATGGTAAATAAAATTGATCGATCAGGTGAAATTAGTGAAATCAAAAAGAAAATTAACTTTTCTTCATATTTCTCGAAAAAATCTTGGAGATTGAGTTCGCTTAATTAAAAGTGAAGCCTATGAAAAATGTTGTGAATTACGCAAATATATCGATGTATCTAGAACGAATTTTTCCAAAGGCATCCGATTGGGCCGATTGAATTCATGTGATCGGTTAATAGT